AACAATGCAAATTCTAAATCACATGATATCATACCGGATTCTTTGATTTCGCGTGTATGTTTTTATACCGTAACAAAAGTCAATCGCTAGACGACGACGGTTGCTTTATTTCATTCTTGGAACAAAACTACGTGCTTTAAGATTTGTTTCAAAACAAGGTTTAAAGCAGAGCCTGATAAGAACGCACATCATGTTTCATTAATTTTACAGATTCTCGTTTTGGTCCAAAGTATAATAGGTTTTGTTTTACCCAACCAAAAATGCTCTTTTCTTTGTTCCACGTAGGCTTCAAAACATTTTGGTGAAACTTATAATACGAATTGTATTTTTTCACTATATATAGTCTAATGCATAAATGTTATTTACTGATTTATCGGAATTACGGTTGCAGAAAACCTCGGTCTCCAGTTTAAACAAAAGTGGTATTAAAACCGCAAAGTCGCTACAATTATTTAGGTTTTCTCTTTCTTAACCTTTAAAAGTAACGTTTGCATTTTTTTTAAGCGTTTGTTCCTACATTCTTGTACCTTTGCTCATGTCAAAGCTTCAACTTTCTTTTCTTTGTTTTTTTTTTTTTCTTTTTTTTTTTTATGAATACGTTTGGAAGGTTTATGCATATTTGTGTCACATTTCATTGAAATTCTGTAGTTCTGTAATTCTGTTGATACTACCACGTGTAATTAATAGATGTTTAGATGATCTTTCTTTGACAGGAGGTCAGTGACCTTGCTTTTGATCACGTGTTAATTGCAAATCATTAAATAATTTCAGTCGCGGATGACTATTCCTTTGAAATGGCTTTTATTCTAAAATTCAATTAGGTAAATATTTTAAAATAAACGTATCTTTATGAAACCTTTAAATACAAAAGTATTAAGAATGTCATTTTCCTTTAACGCTGAGTCACGTGAGAATGCTGATTTATTTTTAAATGGATGTCACAATATGAAAGTCTAGAATGGTTTGCGCAGCTGAACTGTTAAAAAATGAAAGTACTTGGCCTTTGCACGGGATTTCATTAGTATTGTAGAAAAATCTAACGCGTCAAATATTACGTGTCAATGGACATTGACCCTTTTACGATGCATAATAAATTTACGTGATTTTTGAAGATTAATTATCATGTTTTTTTTTTTTTATCATAAGGTAAGCAATTGACGTGCGAGGGGTATTCTGCGTTAAGACGTTTATAATAAAAAAAATCAAGTAGCATTTATCATAGGCCATATGTAAAACCTTAGCCGCAACAAGCAACCAAAAAATGTCGATCATTGGGATAATTTTTATTGGTGGGAGCGGCAAATTTTGACGCGTTTCGTTTTGTCAACAAGACTTTAATAAGAACCATCTTTTGGAATTAATTAACTTGGGCATATATGATTTTTAAAAGTGGTATTAAAAAATGTGTTAAATAAAAATCATCACTTGAAGAATAATAAAATACTTTTAAACATTTAATAATTAAAGATAGGGGGGCAATGATGAAAACTCCTCCTTTTCACTAGTACTTGGCGAAAGAAAAAAATTGAATGAAATAGAATCAGAATTTTCATGTAAATTATTAACCATATGTGACCTGCATATAATTGATAATAAACATGGTAAATATTTTTTTCCTCGTAAATCAAAGCTAATATTTCACCTCCCGTGTGTCTAAGGAATTAATGCGTTTTGATAAAACCTGTACCCACTTATCTTTATAAGAAATCGGTTGTAAGAGATATTTAAATAAACATGTCATGCAAGAATCGAATTCTCTCTTTTTTTTTTTTACATAAAAAAAAAAATACATCAAGGATAAATTTGAACCCAAAATTTATTTAAATAATGGGTTTATTTTCTTCATTTCACTCTCAAATGGAATATCAATTGTTAATTAAAGCTAGCTAATTTGCAAATTAAAGAGAGAATTTGTAAACTTCTTTGAAATTGCCAATATACAGTTATATTTTGAAAAACAAAAACTAAATCTTTGCACTTGAAACCTCGATATAATTATATAATTAATATTTTGTCATTACAGGCTAGGGAACTCGAAAATAACGACAAACACAGTTTGCTTACCTTTGTTATCTCCATAAATCACCAATTACTTCACAAAAACTTTGTAATTAACAATTCTAAATTGATTAACTCCGATAAGTTAATAATAATTCTAAAAGAAATTTCAATTATAGAACAAATAAGTCGTTTGCTATTAAAATCACATAGTAAATCATACGATCCGTAAGAGAAATGATTACTTTCGTGGACATTATAATAAAACGCGTGAATCTCGAATCTCGATCTTTACATTGATAGATCGCGTAAAATTGTTACTTTTTTCTGAGACCTTAAAAATTTTTTCGTCACCGACTAACCCATTACCGATATCGATATTATTTTCATACGGGTTAGCAAAATTTTTAATTCGCATATATACCCGGGTACTATATGGCGTTAACATGTATAATTTTGCCAACGTCAATTCATAATTTTAAACTTTTTTCTTTATCTTGACTAGGCAGATAATAGATAATCGATCAACTCCAATTTTTCATGACATATTCAACGATATTTCAAAAAAAAAATCTCGAGTTAGTTGAATTGCGAAATTGTAACCTATTCAACTAAACTACTTTGTTCGATTTCTTTAGATGTCCTTCGAGATGTCATGTGAATACATGGGTTGATTGCAAGGAAAATCAGGGTTCCGGGAATTTTTTAACAAATTTTCGGTTTTAGTTTTTTTTTTTGATGTTATTAGATTAAAATGCATTAAGCTCTTTATTTTAGTCAAAAATTTCTCGGAACCTGATTTTCCTAGAAATCTTTCCAAATGATGAAATTTAATATGATTTTCGATACGTATTGTCAAAAGCCTTTAACGTACCTTTGCTGAATATTACTGTGCCTGTTTCAAAATCAATTTCTCTCAACATTTTTTTTTTCTCCTAGTTTTCAAATTTTTACAATTCCTGTGAGCGCGTTCCAATATTTTACGAACAGCATTTTTGACTGTTAAAATTGATACCTTTTGTTTATTATTTGTCTTCCATTAAAACGAAATCGGCAAATACGTAACTTGTTGAATTTTTTGTCCTTGAACCTTTTATCCAATAAACAAATAATCTAGATGAGATTGTAGGTCTATTATAAAAATTGATGAATTAAGAACTCGTATGAGGGGAGTAAGGTTTATAAGTATAAGTGATTTCTAGTTTTTATTTTATATACGGACTTGGAAGTTATGATGTAACCCTTATTTTTGTAAATTCAAGCGAAAAAAAAAAAAAAAATTAAAAAACGGTTTTTATTCTTATCAAATTTGATAACGTGATCATTTAATTCTAACATGTGAAAATCGATAAATCGATAACAAAAACACGTGTCAAGGGTGATCATTAACATACTATTTTTACGAGTCTTATCAATAGTAAAATCACACACCCTTTTCACTTGACCCTATTTCAAACTGTCTATTTACATTTTTTAAGCTTCAATTAAATTTGTTTATTTTCGGTGCCAAGTAACAATCTCGTGAATTAAATTTCAGCCAATTTATATGTTTTTTACTCGTTGCATAGAAAAAATTCAAAGTCTCGGCAACAAATAATTTATGTCCCATCCCATAAATTATGAAATGTAACCATGGAATGAACATGTGTCTCGGTTTCATACATATGGGAACCTGCCGGGGGAAAAAAAAAAGTCTCGCTATAAGCCTAAAGCGAAACAATCGGAACCTGTTGCCTCTACTTCCGGTAGCTCCCCTAAGACAACTTTGTCTTCTGACAAGGACCTTATAGACGAAACTTCTAAACCAAAGACCTACGTTTTGATTTTTGGCATTTTAACACCAAAAAAAAAAAAAAAAAAAATTCTTTTTTCCACTGCAACTTATGGATCTTTGAATAGTATCCCATTAATTATGTAATTAATTAGAGTAAGTGATTGCCTTTCAAATTTATCCCATTATAAAATATTTTAAAGTTGCACACACTACATCAGTGATCGGCCATAATTAATTTAGTTAGACAATAAATAAATAAAATGAAAATAATAATGGATAGTATATACATAAGATAAGTCATGCTCCCATATGGATTTTGAAAAATTATTTTTTTTGAAATTAATTAATTAACGGGTACTTTACCATCTCTAGCTACAATTACGTATTTTCTCCAATTATATTTGATTAATTAATTAATAAATTCGTCTAGTCGAGAGGAGCTATAATTTCTTGATCAAAAATATGTCATAAACTTTTCGATAATTAAAATACCTAGTATGGATCAATCTAATACACGCGCATCCGATAGACAATGAATTTCTGCACTTGTCCGCTTTATGATTAAAATTTGGTGTGACGGGACATATAATAACAATCGGGTAATTTTTTACTCTTTACCTTAAAATATGTATGTATACTTTGAAATCAAAGAATAAAATGATCTACGGAAAAAAAAAAACAGATCTTAATTATAATGACTTGGCATTGGTTCCCAAAAGAAGTATTTTCGATTAATTTTTGAATGTTAATAACCGGAGTATAATTAAAAAAAAATACCTTTTAAAAAAAAAAAGAATATTCTATTCACAGATTTAATTGCGGAGGTTGATGCTTTTAAACGTAAGTGACTATTTCATTAATTCCAAATACAGAAATATAAAATATAAAATGAATTATTAATATACTTATATTTATAATAAGAACGTATAATATGTATCTAAAAACCACAATGGTGTAATCATTTTTACCGTTGATTCACAAATTTCTTTTTTTTTTTCTTACTTAAAGTCGATGACTTATGATTATAACCTTTATCATATTACAATTATTACATATTTCGATGAAAGTATATGCTTATAAAAAGGGAGAAAATCTGCTCAACAGAAAACAAAAAAAAAAAAAAATCATTTTTATTTTTTCGTTAATTTTCACAATTTTATTTATTATATTGAAATAAAACTTCTAACTAACCTAATAAAAAGAACCATAGTTAAATTAGTTAAATAAAATGCCATCAACGAAGGGGGATCATTCGTCGTTAAATTCAAACTCCATAACATGTGTCGATACTAATAGCAATGATCTGAAATTTGATCCAGAAGCTCAAATAATAGCTGATCAAATTAAAGTACCATTAAGTAAAGTTGAATTGATCATGGTGATGATTGGGTACGTTGTTGCTGCGGGTCATACTTCCAATAAAACTGTGAATTTAAAAAAAAAATTTTTCTTTGATTTTTAGTTTGTCACTTGGAGTTTTCTTGTCTGCTTTGGATCAAACTATCGTTTCTACTGCATTACCAAAAATCGCTTCAGAATTTAACTCTCTAGATCAAATTTCTTGGGTTGCCACTTCATATTTACTAACAATGGTAAGTTTAATCGCTTTAGTTTACGATTAATAAATATCTTTTTTTTTTTATTTAAAAAAAAACATTTTCTCTTGTTTATAGACGGCTTTACAACCAACTTATGGAAAATTTTCGGATATTTTTGGTAGAAAAGAAACACTTTTATTTGCAATTATCATTTTCGAAATAGGAAGTTTGCTTTGTGGTCTGGCCCCAAATATGGTAGGTACATCAATTAAAAGGATTTTCTTTTTTAACCTTCGCGCAATGAGGTTAACCATTTCTTGCATCGCGTTTTTTAAAGGTTTCATTGATTATCTTCCGTGCCATAGCTGGAATTGGGGGTAGTGGTATCATTAATTTGGTTATAATCATAATATCAGATATCGTCTCATTACAAGATCGCGGAAAATATCAAGGAATGATTGCAGGTGTTTTTGGTATCGCTTCAGTGGTGGGTCCATTACTTGGAGGCGCTTTTACAGGTGAATAAGTTAAAAAAGTGAAGTAACATTTATCTCAATAAAATTTCTAACATTTTGATATTTTTAATGCATTAGATCACTTAACTTGGAGGTAAATATGGACTTTCCAGCAACTTTCTAAACATGAAACACTAATTAAAGTTTTTTTATGATTATTGATTAGATGGGCATTTTATATTAACATTCCAATAGGAGGAGTAACAATTGTCGCAATAATATTTTTGCTTCATATGCCACGCCCAAAAGGCTCACTACTACAAAAACTTAAACGGATAGATTATATGGGAACTATTTTTATGATTTTAACTATTGTAGCATTTTTATTACCATTGAGTTGGGGAGGAAATGAGTACGCATGGAATTCTCCTGTAGTTATTGTGCTATTAGTAGTTGGATTTATTGGATGTTTGATATTTGCTTTGATTGAAGTTAAATTTTCCGTTGAACCCATTGCGCCTCGTAAGTACGCAAAATAAATACTTTGCTTAAGACATGAGATCATGAGAAATTTTGCATATAACCTTGGATTTTTTTTTTTTTGGATAGCACATTTGTTTAAAAATGTAAATGTTATTGGAAACTTTGGCACGAATTTCTTTCAAGGAATGGCATTTTACGGATTGGTTTATTACATTCCAGTTTACTTCCAAGTTATAAAAGGTGATAGTGGTAAGTATCATGGGAAATCACTTTTTCTCTCAACTAATTCTTTTTTCACCTGTTGTTAATATGCGCTTCCAACTTCTTTTTCCAGCCACCGCGTCAGGTCTGGAATTAATCCCATACATTCTTGGTGTGGTAATAGCGTCGATATCAACCGGTCAATTCATATCACGATCAGATATAGCATCTTATCGTACGATAATTATAATGGGTAGCGTATTGATCACAGTTGGATCGGGATTACTTACTTTATGGAACGAACATTCTGGAAGAGGTGTTCAAATCGGTTATATGATTATCACTGGTGTAGGAGTAGGAAGTAAGATCAAGATAGATGATATACTTTGCTCAGTGTGTTTGTTTGAAATATCATTTACTGACTTTTACTTATTTTTTTTTTTTAGTTATTATTCAAACTACAATTCTTTGTGGACAACAAATTGTCGATTATAAAGATGTCGCGTCTGTTACTTCTCTTTTAACCTTCTTTAGAACGAGTGAGCATATCATTTTTCAGAATTTTTTTTTTTTTTTAAATGAAATCCAAGACACTCATAATTTCTTTTTATTTTATTTTTTTATATGTTCATTCACAATAGTTGGAGCCGTATTTGGTGTCGCAGTAATCGGCACTACATTCAAAGATGTTCTCGCTCGTAATTTGAATAAACTTTCATTACCAACTGAAATCAATTTGGCTGTAAGACAATCCGCTTTTGCAGTTCAAAGCTTGCCCGACGATATGAGAATTCCGGTTATATCTGCTTACGTTAATGCTTTGAGTGTTGCCTATATGGTTTTAGTACCAGCAGGGATATTATGCACTATTTGTGCAACCTTTGTAGGAAATCATAAACCTAGAAGGAGTGAAAAAGAGACGGTGGTGGTCTTTGATTAAAACAAGGAATGGTTTTCACGTGACATTTACGTCGATCATGCCGTTAGCACTCGGGGGCTGCTAAAAAGAAAAAGTATTCTGCCAAAAGATTTTATTGAAATAAGGCTAGTATTTCCAAACGCTTTTTTTTTTTTTTTTTTTTCGTCGAGAGGATAATTTGCATCTATTTTTATGTCAGAAATTGCTTCATCAAATAATTTCTATTGTAAAATTTCTTTGTACCTTTTTTTGTTTGTCGTTAAAAAACAATTATCAAAAAGGAAATTTTCAAAATTTTCACAAAGTCATCCGATTAATGGCAGGAATTTTTTATTTTCACTCCTAAAAGATGATATATTATTTTATTACGCAACTTTGAATTTTTAATTTAATAAAAACATCTCACGGATTTATATTTTATTTTGCAAATAGAAATATAACTTTTTATTTATAATAAATTTATTTATCAAAATACAGTAATATACTTTCAAAGCTAGAGTACAATATTCTTAGAAAGATTTACGGTTATGAAGGACATAGATAGTGTTGGCTTTGATAGAACGCAAGTGCGCAGTGTGTAGATATTTATAAAAATGAAACCTTTGTAAATAAATAAAAACTATTTTTCTTTTACAAAATGCTTTGAGGGCAAGCAACTATAAGAAATATATTATTTGAAGGTATTAGAACTATGAAATACGCTAACTTTTTTGTCTTTAGATACAAGTACTAGGTCCAGATCTTAATATTTTCCTTTTCAGAAGGGACTTTGGATTTTCTCCGCCAAATATACTAGCGTTGATGGGCAAATGCATTTTTTTTTTTTTTTTTTGCCATAAAAGTGCAAATGTATAAAAGGATCAACAGTCGATTATGCAAAACTATCTAACGTATCTAAAATGATTTTTTGCCTAGAAAAATATGCCTGCAGTCATGTTGCAAAAGCAACGCCTTATGGCATTGTCAACTTCACATTGTCTTGATTTATATTGAATTTTTAAAAAATTAAGGCACGTGATGATGACTTAACTAAGTCGGATTTTTAATGAATCAGATCGAAAATTTTTTTAGCAAGAAATATTGTTATAACCAGAATGATATCAAAATGAGGTAGTTTACGTCGATGAAAAATACAAAATAATTTATAGTCCAAATCTTTCTGAATATAATTCGTCATCGTTCGTCTTTACGGCAACGACTTTGGCATATAATTTATCTTCAAGCTTTGTTCATTAAAGAACAAATTTTCTGAAAGTAAAAGAGTCTTCTTATTTCCCTTCTTTCTTATCTTTGGGAAGTCATCCAAATCATCAAATTTGAAAATTTATGAAAAGAGATGGTATTAATTTCTACTTGTGATTTCGTTTTGTAATTAAGAGCAACAAGATGTCAACTTACGCTTGATCAATAAATTCCTTGAACAAAGTGCGAAATCCTTTCTCATTTGTTGTCCTATCAAACCACTCCCCGGACAATCATGTCTTTCCTCAATTGCTCTGTAGTGAGAGACACATCAAAAATGATAAATCACTTACTTGATTAGATCAAAACTTCTAGCTTTAAATTTTTCTGGATCCAAATATGTTTCGCCATATATAATAGTAATTAAACAAGCTTGATATTCTTCCGCTTTTTTTGTGTAGCTTTTTAAAGGTCGTGAAAAGTAGGCTCTATGAGGGTAAACCATAAGTATATAAATAGCTTGGCAAAGTAATAGAACATTCACAAAAAAAGACTCCCGGTTATCTTGTTCTGGGACGTGAGACATTAAATAAGCAAGCACAAATACGAAGTGCTGGGAAAATGTTTTTGGAAAGGAAAACTTCACCTTTTTGCCCATTTTATTTGCCAAGACTTGTTTCCACACGATTCATATGATGACATTCTTAACGATTTGTTTTGCTACATAACATAATGCATTTACTTATTTTTTAATATTGCGGACGTTAAATGTGCTTTAATGAATTTTGAATTATCTTTCTTATAGTTAGAAAATCGAAAAGTTTCCTCCAATGGAAATTGGATCATTTAACGACTTAGTTCAGATATACAGTATTTGAGAATGCAGGCGTATAATACAACTGTGCGACATTGCTAACTTTTTTTGAATTTATGTCTCACACGTCGATTACTTCTCAAAAACACTTTTGTAAGTTTTAAAAGTTAATATGTAAAAGTATTATAAACAATTTTAATATGAAAAATATGTTGTATTGAATTTTATTTTCTTTTATTAATTAAAAATATAATAATTCAAAGCAGAAAGAACTTTATGTTATTCTCTCCTATAATATATTAATTTTAAATTAATAAAATATATTCGCCACTACTATTCCTTATTAATTAATAATTGTCCTTAAACTTCTACATATTTTTTTAGTATTTTTTTTAATATTATTTATTTAGCTAAAATGAAGTCTCTCAAGAAAAAGATAAATTATTCACTTTAAAAAAGTTGTTATTTCTGTCAAATTGTATTTAAATTTCAAAACATTTATCAAGAGCTTGTCACCATAAAATTTTTATAATTTAAAATTCCTTTTTTATTTAAAAAGTTGATTTTTTATATTTACATAAACAACACTCTAAAACCTAAGAGAATCTTTTTTCTATTAAAATTACAGCATAATAGGCTTTCTTTATGATTGGCTAATTTTGCAGATCATTTTATAAAATGATGTATAGTCAACCCTCTTTAAATGCATTCTCTCTAAATGCATACACTATATATTTTCTCTCTAAATGCATGCTCTCATTCAGTCCCAAGCATATAGAATTCATATAAAAATTTTCTCTTTAAATGCACACCCTCTTTAAATGCACATTTTTTAAAATTTTCATTATAGTCCTGAGGGGATGCATTTAGAAAGGATTGACTGTAGCAGTTTGTCTAATCAGAATGGCTTTCCCAATGATTGGTTAAATTTATTATCATAAAATAAATTATTAATAAAAATATTTATTTAATTTTTAAATTTTATAATAAATAACCATATATTTTCAAAAATAAGCATCTCTGAAAATAAGTATTTTTACATTTATATATATTTTAAAAGTAAGCATTTTATAAAAATTTTATTAAATTTATAAAAGAAAAAAAAATTATAAATAAAAGAAATATTAATTATTCAATATTATTATTAATAGCATTATTGTTACACCTAAAATTGATATGCAAAAATGATTTTTTTTAAGTATGACAGTCTCGCATGATCTTTATTAATATTTATGAATTTATAAGAAAAATAAAATAAAACAGAAAATACAAAAATATCTATAAACTAATCTAGAGAACTAAACTACTTTATGAATACCAATCTTGCACTTTTACCGAACTAAACTATATATTAGAAAAGAAAAGAAACTAATCTAAACTAACGTACAGATATTGAACGTCTGGAAGGAAGGGCGTGGTTACTACCGTACCAAAAATTTGACCAGTGAGAACCAAAAGCAACAGCTGCAGAGAAAAGAGGAGAGTGGTTAATCGAAGTTTGTGTAGGTTGTGGGAGTCTAGAGGAGACCCAAGCAGCAGTGAAATCATCTTTGATATTGTGCAAAGTTTTCCAAAGTTGTAATGATGCGCATCGTGTCAACCATATGTTATGAGCTGAGGAGAAAATATCATCAAATAAGGATGATAATAAACCTTGGGTGAGTTGTTTATTATTGGTGATGGAAGTAATCGAGGAGAAAAATGATGAAGGAATAATTCCTTTTATGAGATTCATAAAATATAAATTGTTATTGAACGAGTTGCAATACTATATTGAAGATTGATCAATAGTATCAATTAGAGTATTATTGTTAGGTCTGTTGAGCTCTTTGAGGTGAGACAAAAAAGACTGTTTATGCTTTTGTATTAAGTTAGTAAGAAAAGTTGGGTTTTGGGAACAAGACTAAATGTGATCAAAATCTTCAGTTGTAGTATTACACTGGAAGCAGGTATTAGTGATATAAATTTGGGGAAATTGTGCATTCATTATTGTAAAAGTGGAGAGTAATTGTAATAACAATTTGATTTTAAATTACTTTCATTTACACGCATCGAATAATATTACCCTAGCATTTTCTGAGTCATTAAGGACGTAAAAGAGAGTTTGCCAATCAATTTGATGATTGTGATATTTTGCAAATTGGGGAAAGAACAAAAGTATTCCAGCCCAAGATGCTTGTTGCATATGTTTAATAAATAAACGTGTTGGTGTAATGATTGGTATGTTATTATAGCTCATAAAGTATTTAGAACTAAGGTGATTGCTGTTAATACTCAAAGGAGCACCAGAGAGTTGTTTAGCTAAAGCATCTACTTTATTGTTAAGTTTATCTGATCCATGAGCTTTGACATTTGTTAGCGACAACACAATATTGTTAGATGTGATAAGTTGTATCAAGATCATCCAAATGTGGAAATAAGGAATTTTGAAGGCAGGGTTTAGAGAGGGAGATTCCTCACATATGGTGATGATTTTGTGATATGAGGCAATTGCAGCTTGTGAATCTGTGCAAATTTTAATGTTGGAGTTCGGTGGAGCTGTGTATATTGCAGCAAGAATAGCAACTATTTCTGCTAATGTTGAAGAAGGAGAGTGTGAAACTAATGTTGCATTAAAAGAAAGCAAAGGCCAATTTTGATCAGTTTGTAATCACACTATTCCCATCTGGCATGCAGGAGATCCTAAAGATGTAAGAAAACCATCTGTATAAAATTGAAGTAAAGTAGCGTTAGTAAATTGCGATTTAAGACGGTCTAATTTATTAATAGATGTTTGATCAAAAGGAATAACGTCTAAATTAGGTAAAGGTTTGGTTGGATATTGATAAGGAGATGTCAATGTAGACAAAGTGACTTCACGAAGCATTAGGTGAGAAAGACTACACCTCCATCCCTCATGGGGTTTGTGAGAAGTTTTAAATATAAAACAAAATGATTTGGGTAGTTTGATGGCACAAAAGTAATGGCGTTGTTATTGTTTATAAGGTATAAAAGCTGAATGGTCGAAAAGATTACATCTATTACAAGAGCAATGGGAGTTTGGAGGCAATCAGCTTGTTTTGGCAAATAATGTTATGCGTGAATAATAGTATCTTCGACTTTAACTACTTTGCCTAGTATGAATGTCATATACTAGTTAGACCAAATTGTGACGAAAGTTAAGTTAGTTGCTGAAGCGTTGAAGTTGGGCGGTCGAGTTAGAGTTTTGATGATAGGTGTGTAAGGGGACATTTATTGAGTAGGAGTCTATCTGAATCACTGAAAAGAAGCTATGACTCCAAATGTTTGAACCATTTAGCACTATGGAATACTGAATCGTAAACCATATTTAAGTCAAAGGCTGTGAACAAATGAGTTCTATTTATAGTAGTGAGTTGATCAACATATAAGATCGATAGTGATCGCAGTTTCGTTATATTTTGCCGATATATTTTTTAGGGGAGGGAATGTAGTATTGGGAATGACCCACCATCTATATATTTTAGATTGTAATTTATATCTATACATTGTTAGAATTTAAGTCCAATCTGCTTGGCAGCTGATAGAAATCCTGACCATCAGTCTTTAAAGGGCTTTGTGTCTATGTAAGGCCAGTCAGTTAATAGGGATGAGAGTAGTCATTCCAACAATTGTAATTGCAAAATTCGTAATCGCGAGGTTGAATCAAGGAGAGAAATATTATTAATCATCTTTAATAAATTAGATGACTTGGCTTGAATCTGTTTGTCATACAAGTGTGCTAAATTATAACCAAAGGTTGAGTGGAGAACAGAAGTAGATATAAATCTTGAAGTCTTAGCTTCTTTTTGAAGAAATTTCTGAAGAAAGCCATCAGAGTGTCGCAAGCTAAACGAGATACAAATGTTATTTTTATCTTATATAAAAGAGGAGAGATAATGACTGTGTTGAATATTGCAACCATTTGTTTAGCAGTCAACCTTTTCTTGCTAAGCATGTTCTTTGTCTTAGTAAATTCATCTCGAATTTGTTTGATAATGAACTGTCTGTTATTAAACAGAGACACCTAGACTTCTAAATATCTAGTGGATTCCTTGTAGTGTAGTGGTGAGAGCCAAATATTTTTTTCATTGAAGTTATAATTAACGGGAGAGGAATCTTTGTCATTAATCATAAGGACAGATTTATCCCAGTTGACTTGAATGCTGTTAAGTGTATAGAAGGAGTCTGCTATACTCATGATATTTAGGAGATCGGATCTGGAATTTGCAAGCCAGAGTATATCATCCATATATGCCAGTGTTGGGACGTGATTCGAAAAACTTTGTATTTTACGTTTTGTAATATCAGTATTCCAGTGGACGTATTACGTGTAATCGTATGATGAGTTTTGTACGAAACAAAGAAGTGGGTCGTAATATATGCACCATAAGATAGGTGATATAATTTCGCCTTGATCGATGCCTGAAAGAACTAAATAGGTATCAGAGTTACCATATGCGGTAAACACTTCTAGGATTTGGAGTCGTCTAAGGGCTCTAATCAACATGGTGATATTAATACAGTCATATGCTTTTGACATGTCTTGGAATAGAATCCAAAGGTTGTTGTAGTGGAATGAGGCATCGTAATTGATGTTATCAAATATGTGAATGGGTTCAAAAGTACTCCTACAAGGCAGACCAGTAAAGTTGTTTTCTTTGAGAATGTTGTTGGTAGATAAAACGTTTAAT